AAACACACCGGACACGAACATAAAAGACTCACAGCACAAACAATATATGAAAAAAACAAAATGTAAAATTCAAAAGAAACAAAAAATGCACACTTGGCAACGGCAAAATATCCGACCATGAAATGAACTGGAAACCGTCGCCCGCTTGGGTTTTATCGTTTCGAGTCCCGCCTGCAGATGTGGCGGGGTGGGAGCCCACGGGCCAGAGACTATCCGCCGCTATAATCATAGAACACGTGACGTCATAACGACGACCGCGTACACCAGATAAACTAATAAACTGCAAATAAATAATTTTCACTACTCTTTCCGGTCGACACAGTACACGGGTAGTTCATTATCGTTTGTCGCCGGATCTATCTAGCTGTTGCCAGAACCCCTGGAAAAATCCTAATAGTCTCTTAGGCGGAAAAAAAAAAGAAACCTACGCTAACTAAAATATTAGCCGTTATTATAGTAGGTAGGCACCTAATTTCAAAACGATTAAGTTCTGTTATACAGCGTTAAAACAGCCGTACAAATAATAGACACATCTAAAATGCCCGCGTACACCTATTTAGACTTATACCTACACATGTAAAATTTTATAAAAAATATGGCAATTAAAGCCATAGTGGCGTATTTACGAGGGGGGGAGGTGAGGGGATAGGGTGTAATAACGACAAATATATCCCCCTGGCCGATTTATATTTAATACAAATATGATTTGAAATGTTTAATTGTTCATAGCATTTTCGGTATAATAAAACGTCGGCAAGCCTTCGGGGACGACAAAATTTACATATCGGACGTAACAACAATTATAATTGTTTAGGTTAATGCGTAGGCATACGAGATTTTGTGATTCGATACAATATACCACGAATAGGCACCTGTCATACATAAATCACGAACGGCATTGACCATCACGATATTATTATATGGATTTAGAAAAGCAATGTAATAAAACAATCAATTCGAATTGCAATTCCATGAGGTGTTTAACTTCAAAACCAATAAGCACCAACAAAACCTGTCAGATCGACATAATATATTTGGTATCTAAATGTAACAACTCAGTGTCTACCTAAAATAATACGGTAATAAAAAAAAATAATAATAATAATAACGACCAAATCTGTAAGCTTAACAGTGCAGTTTTTTACCCTTAGTACCCTTAGAAATTATTATCGGGGCTATAGGTTATATAGGGTCATACGGATCAATATTTTGGCATAAGACATTATTATTATTATTTTTTTTTTTTTCCTAAATAATTATAATAGTTTAAACATTTTTACTGTATTAATACATTATACATAATTTCGAGCGATAAAACCGTTAATAATACTTAACAGAATAATAGTACTCAATAATACTTTTCTTACAGTAAATATCGGCCCTTTGATGTTATCGAAGAATTGTAAAAGAACTTCGTATTATGATTATGTATTGATTATTGTCGTATGCAGCTTTGCGGGTAACTTTATCATCTACGACCAATGCCGATGAGTGCCGGGCCGCCCCGTATACCGGACCATCGAGATACTGGGAAGTTTCCTGGTGAGCAAGAAAAATGGATACCCACCCTAGAGAGCAATTTCGTATCGAATAATAACAATTCATTTTAAACAAAAAAAGTTTATCTTTGTTTCGTGTCAATGAACCTTTTAGCATTATTTTTCGTTTTAAACAATATTGGAAAAAGGGTATTTTTCGAGAAACAAAAAAAAAAAAAATCATAAATAGGGTCGATGGGCGAACGGCTTGAAAATTTAACAAAAACGTGTCAAATAAAGCATTACAGGACGGTAATATCGCATCTGAATTGGCCGAGTCACTTTTCGCGACATTTCTTAACGAAATGCAAACGGGCCCGTGGTCAAAAGAACGGTGTTAAATTTCTTTTTATACGCCGTTTTTTCATAGGCACTAACGCGGACCAACGACAGCGTTTTCATGAGCCCAAACGATTGTTTGTTATTACTGTTGTGCGAATAACAAGTGTCCCCGTTGTCGACGTTATCAACAGAGCCAACTGCGAATACGGACTGACAACCGTTGACTCTTGTTAAAAAGCAAACACTCGTCCCCGCGCTTTGTGTAGCCCTTCGATTTCAAAGCGCCCGCGGTCGGGTAACAATGACGGGGTCGGGGAAACGCGCGAAGGCGATGGAACACGAGCGCGCGAAACGGCGCATACCGCGATCGATGGCGCGGTTTCCCGTCACCCCGTCAAATGGATCGCACGCGGGTCAATGACACGCGGTTTATTAATTATTGTTAATCGGAACGGGCGATACGGCCCGGGTATCGGAAACCGGCGACCACCGATTAGATAACAATGTGCACGCGCCGCGATGCGGGCACGGTGTTCCCGAATCCGATTATAACGCAATATTGAAGACGGGAATAGATGCGCGAACGCATCGCCGGTACGCCCGTGCCAGTCCGCGTTGTTATCGGCTGTCGCCCCGGTTTACCGGCTATTATTCCGCGATTACCGCGGTCCCGGTTGCGAGGTCGCCGACCTCCCTGGACCGCCGCACCGGGCGATCAATCCGTGTCGCAAAATAATATTGCGCCGGCGACAATACCATCGGTATTGTATATTAATGTTACGTCGTCGTGCGCGATAAAATATCGACCGAGCGCATTGAACTCAAACGCGGACCGGGAAACGCGTAAAACCCCGGAACGTACAAATATGGAATTCACAAATCGGAGAGATCCCCGGGTTTTTGGTAGCGGGTATCGAAATCGGGAATGACAATTGATTTCGCCCGACTTAGGCGTACGTTTGTTTAATTACGATGTTATGCGTAAAACTATTACTGTAACATGTATCTATATTGCGCCGGTCAAAAAAAAGTACACTAAAGAGGCACATGTCAATCGCGTGAATTTACGCCCGAGAATTTTTGACAGACTAAAATAGCATATTGTGCACAACGTGCATCAATATTATGCATCAACGTTATAAAAGATATTTAACGATTAACGTTATACCCGCATCTAAGGAAAACCAGCTTGATTTTAATTCTAGGGAAAAAATACCTGTTGTTAAATTTATAGAGAACGATATTTTGGAGGGAATTTCGTAGGTGTTTTTTGAATTATGAACCATTAAAAATGTTACAGATATTTAAAAAAAAAAAATTAAAAAAAGCTTTTGTATCTTTTATATCGAGTTGTATATTTTGAATAATACAAAAACCCTATGACATTTCCCCCCATCCCCCCAAAAAAAATAAAAACATTGTTCTCTATAACTTTCATTACAGGTACTTTTACTCTAAAATCAAAATTAGCCAGTTTTCCTTATTCTGCGTAAGCATTGTTTTTGCATGTTCCCCGGTAATTGGACTGAGACGGGTATAACGTCCTCTTAAAGTCAATATAAATTTACAAACATTCTCTCATGGATTTATATAGGTAACAAACGGATTCAATATTTGTTCAAATTTTATTCTATTTTTAATTAATCAAAAAATACGATGTTACAAATATTGATTTTCCAAACGTAAGTTCGAATAAAAAGACTTAACACATTCCGATAAATTGTTGATGTTGTTGAATGATAAATGGTACTTTTACGATATATGTTTATTCGTCAATTAAAAAACCGAAAATAAATCATTAATAAAAAATAGAACCATACTTCAGAAAACAAAAAAAAGTCTAATACTGCTGATGAGTGCGCCGCTGTTTCAGAAAATAAGCTGAAAGAGGAGGGGGATACCTATATAGGTAAATTTAATTTATATCTGTACTGTATATCTGTATATCTGATCAGAATATTATTATTAGTTGTATTTTGCCAAGGTCACCCAGAATGCAAAATATATTTTGTTGCAGGTTTTTCCATTTGTTAAGAAAACTACAAAAAAAAAGAAAAACACCCGAAAGCAGCGGAATTCCCCCCCCCCAGTAGACTTAAGTAAAACGATTGTTAGAGTTTAACTACACTCTGTACAAATTTATCTTGGGTTTTTGTATATTGATAACCATGGACCACGTCTACCCTCTCTCCTCGTCCTATATCACGATATATTACTCCTCCTTTCTTTTAGGTATGCAAAGTATCCTATTATTACCGTCCGGTAATGGTATAAGGAATCAAACGAAAAAAGTTTCATCAAAATGTTCAAAGTAGTTCTAAAAAATGTTGCAAACATACAAACAGAAGACGAATACATGGGTTGGAACTCTGAAAGTTAAACCTTCTAAAGGCATACATTCGACAACAATACTATTTATAAATATTTACAAACTTTAACCCAGTTAATTACTTTCACGAGTCTGTAAGGAAATTATTTAAAACCCGGTAATTCCTGTGAAAACATGAAAATGTTTAAAGAGGGGTTGAAAAGTGAAACCCCCAAAAGGCTCATCCTTGGTATTTACAGCATATATATAAAAATCTTTATTCTCCGTGATTTCATTTGGATGGTCTGGTCTGTAAAAGTGAACAAAGCTAATAAAATTATTGAGAAAAACATTGAAATAGCAAGAAAAATTGCATAATTTTCAATTTTGTTTTAGATTCTGAACAAAGTAAGAAATGTATTGGTTAAACAATGTTTATTTATTTTTTTTTTGTCTGTAAACAACTTTTATATATAACCTGTATTTTTTTTCTTTTGTAACAGTCAAAATCGAATTTTGTCGAAAATCGTAAATATTACGGCCCTTCAAAAATCAAAACATGTATTACCGAAATTCTCGTTCCGAATCGTTTTTCGTTAGCAATGGTCCATAGTTGCTTACCGGTATAAATCAAATATTTCTATGTATCCTATATTCCTACCTTCCCGACTTACCATCTACACCAGGAGCGCATCCGTTCCCAGTATCTGCTCTTCTTTATTTGTTTATTAGTACCTACATATTTTATAGGCTTTCATGATACAATTTAAATTTGAATTGGTGGTAATTGAATCAATGGTGATGGTGGTAAGATAACAATTTGTTTATCAATATTTGGACCTATCACAGCATAGGACGATAAAATAGGTAGATAAGCGTCGAACACTGAATAATCACTGCCTGAGGATTCTTGTCTATATTAATTATTACTTAATAGTATATTTTATGATTGACTGCCATTAGGCATAAATAACCTACGCATCTACCTTTTTACATGTCTATGATAAATGATTAGCAAGTAACAAAGTCTGATGTTTAATAGATACCTACTGAAATTATTATACTTTGCAATAATGAATATTTTTTTATTCCAAATAGAAAAGACTGATATCTACTGACGTTGAAATACACTAGTACATTGCACATAATATAAGCTGTGGAAAAATGTCTGCTGGTAAAAAAATAAATTACCATGATCTGTAAGTTTTTACTACCATTATAACTTATCAACTTCTCTTTTGTTGAACAAATTTATTTAAATTCAAATATTTATCCATTATTAAAATTATAATATCTATCGTATATAATCAAGATAATTTATTATGAGTGTGTTGGAAATTAATAAACCTATTATTCATTTTTTATTATACAATCACCAAATTTGTTAATTTTGTTTCATTATTTTTTATTTTATTATGATACAGTGTTAAAGATCATGTCCGTTTACGTCTATTGGAATCCAGTTGGAATAGTGAAGTGAGCAATTTAATTAGAAATGCAATTCGCAAACGAATTGAAGATGGTCAAGCTCCAAAAGCGATTAAGTTTGAAGAATTGTATGAAGATATTTGCGACAAAGCTCGTGGTAAGAATTAATTAAGGAATTATTAAAATTTTCCTACCATAAGTATATAATATAGATTTTAAACAAATAATATATAGTATAGGTACCTTTAACTATTCATTTTTAGATGCTATATCTATTGAAATGGAACAAGAATGTCATGCAAAAATTAAAGAATATCTATCACTAAATCTTAATGAAATTTCTGGTTCAACTCCGGTTTCTTCAGATGTCCTTCATCCGAGCAATTCGTCTATTTCTATGGATGTTGCTACCAACAAAATGGATGACGTTATTTAATTGCTCATATTATGAATATGTAATTAAAATTAAGAGTTTTTACTTTTAAGTATTTGATATAAATTCTGACAATATAAGTTTTATAAAATAAATTTGTTCAAATCCCGGGATAAATTTGATCCTTTACAAGTTTACAGTTGACTATTAATATTTATTTGCTATTTTTATGTTTATACATAAACATAAAACTACACTGCCTTAAAGGTATAATTTATTATACCTTTAAGGCAGTGCCTGTATTGGAGAGCGTTGAGTGTCAAAGATAAGCATAATGCAAATTTTTGTGGTTCATTTAATATCTATAATCTATATACATACAATAATTCATCATGTCGTTCATTATAGTAGATCGTCTTGTGTTTCCTTTAATCAAGTTTTATGCTATTTCCGTTGTGCTGTATTGAAATGAACTTTCAAAATATTTTTGGGTGTAAAATGTATGTATGTTTTTTCTTTAAATATTTAAAATTAACTAAACCTGTCATATGTCAATATGAGTATACGAGAGCATTATTAATTATCATATAATTCTTAGAATAATGTCTAGAATATTTGCTCTGTTGTCGAGCTTACATGATAACTACCTATATTTACCTGTATTAATAATATATAAATTTATTTATACCTACTTATAGAAAATGATCTACCACACCACTACTATCTACTGTTTACAGCCGCCAAATATATTTCATGAGTGTTGAGTGTCAGGCATGTTTTATTTGTGACGTGACAATACTCATCAATGTATATATGGCCCAACAGTTATACTTAGAAATTGTATTGATAGAAGAAATTATTTTCAAAGGCAACACATTCCCTTTTTTCTAAAATATTAAAAAAGTTACAGCTATTTAAAAAAAAAAAAACAAAAACTAACATGGCATAACTCTTCAGTTTAATATTTTAGGGAAAAATTAGAGATTTACAATAGCTCGTTAATCCTTATAATTTGGTCAAGAATATAGTGTGATGTGGCAGTTCTTGACCCAAAAGAAACCATTCATTTATGATACATCTTCAATATTAAAACATTCAAAAATATTACTTCTAGTAGACGATGCCAAAATTCACAACATTATTACAACAAGAAATAATGCTTTAGAATTATAATCTAACTTAGATAACTTTTGCCAATTAGTGTATCAATATTGGCATGGAACTTAATAAATGCCCTATAATTACTTTTTCATTAAAAAAAAAAAACATTTCACTTTTAATTATAATTTAATTCATTATCCAATACAATGTGTATCCTTGGTTAATGATTTAAGATTTTTTTATTTTTGATAGTAAACTAAAATTTAACCATCATATAAATAAAATAAAAAATAAATATTTTCAAAACTTAGCTTTCTTAAACGATTTTATTCAGAATCTTATAACATACTTGCATTAAAAATATATATTTTTTATTAATTTGATCTCAATTAGAATATGTCATCCTGATTTAGTCTCCCAACTTTATAACATCCATTCAAAGTCTAGAATCGGTCCAAAATTGTGATTTTCATCATTTGAATGCAGAGTAGAAAGGCAACCATAATTAGTACCACATACTAGTTATAACAGAGTTCTAGGATGTTTTAATAAAACTTCCTTAAAAACCAGAAGAAATAACCACATTTTATGGTTTTTTTATTTAAGTTGCTTAATATTATAGTCGATTAGAAATAATTAATTTTAAGGTTAACTGCAATAACACTAGAGATAAAAATATATTTTTTTTTATAAACATCTCAAATTATTCAACTTGCTCTCCGGTTAATATTTTAATGAATATTAGTAATTCTGCTCAATTAGATATTTTTTCTTGTAACATTTACAATATCCAACAAAATATTACACTAGATTTAATTTTATAATATTATTCGTTTTAACAATCTTACATTATTTGTATTAATTATTCTTTATTTTTATACACATACATTACCTATTAAATGTTGTATATTCTTGCTCTTTATACAAATGTTTTACATGTATACCTATATTTATTATTTTTATCTATACACTTATGTATTTATCTATTCAACTGTTATATATTATGTTACACACATAACCTTACTTCACATTTTGTAAATGGAATTTTCTTTAGCCATAAATTAATAAATAAATAAATAATATTATCTCATTACCATAGCAAATATATGTATAAAAAAAAAAAATAGAATTGATTTTAATTTGAGTTATTACACATTTTTTCACTTGTTATGTTTTAATTTCTAGTTAAATTCTAAATACAATATTGTAAATGCTGAAGGATAAGGAAAATAATACCAGTTCTTTTTCAAATTCAAAAATACTAAGTATAACTATAAGAAATTAAGTATATCTAATAAAATTTGACTACAAGAAAAATATAATGACAAATTTAAATTTATTTTCAGATTACTTGTCACATCACTATGCTGGTGGTACAATGAACAAATTGTACATACTATTATCAAAATTAAAAATACCCATGAATAGTTGTGAGTAATCGTGTTGTAACATGTGAGAAAGTTTGAAAAGTACGGGGAAATCACAAACCCAATGTTCATTTACTATGCATGATTTGATAAATCATAATGATGATAATATGGGTGAACCAGGTTTTTTTTTTTTTTTGTTTTTCTAATAATATTATGTTTGACTCGGTAAAAAAAAATGTTTCCCTCAAAGTTTTAAATCTTTAAAATGATTTCTGTAAGTGCAACATTTATGAAAAAACTAGCTGTTTTGTTAGTTTCTATTTTTTTAGTCTATATATTAAATTATCAAAGAAAAAAATGTTGATTTTATTTTAATTGCATTGTTTAATATTTTTGTGTTATATATATATAGATATCCAATAGGTACCTAGTTATGAGTAGATTATTACAAATAATAATTGAGAATGACCGATTTTACTGTTTTTTGAAATTTAAAGCCATTATTAAAAAACTAATAATTATTATTCTGTATAACTAACTAAAGCTCCGCTCAGAATCATTTTATTGAAGGAATGATTTATCATTACTTTAAAATGCATTGTCTTCTTCTTCTCAACTTGTCTTATTTTATATTGTAGTATAAGTCAATAATATTTTAATGTTATAATTTGAATTATTTCTTTAAAAATGTTATGAATATTTAATATAATATTAACCACATACATATTATAAAAGTATAATATTAATATGTAAGTGTGCAACAGACTATCGAAAAATAATTAGGCCAGACACCAATAGTACAATACAACGAGTGTCTAAAGACAGCGCCTTTTATCAACACTATTATTATTAGTATCACACTAACACCACAGTTGCCTTATCACATTTTAATTATACAGTTTCTAATTGTTCACTTGGAATTGAAGACATTGTATGTAAATTGATTTAATTTTTAATAAAATATATTATAATTATTATTAATTTTATAAATTATAAATTTAAAAAAATAAAAATAACAATAACCGATTATATGATGAGACGACTCTGGTTTTAGTGTGATATTAATAATAATAGTGCTGATAACAGGCGCTGTTTCTGACGCTTACACTGAATGATTAAATTATAAATTATAAATGATTTATAGGTTAAAAATTCAAAAAATGGATTTGTTATCAACATACAATTAAACAATAAGACATGTGGGCCTTAAATTAAATGGCCGATTTTAACTTCAATAAAATTCACAGGAGCTATAGGGTAGTGTTAGCCATCTATAATTTATTGTAAGTTTTAATATCTATGCATAAACCTTATACGATAGTATCATAATATAGATAGTATACTGGAATAAACAGCGTTTTAGTGAACTAAAGCACTAGTAATCATGAAATCATTATAATTATTTTACTGTTATAGGTGAGAATTAACAAAATATAATACTGTTCGTTATTAAACAAATTGTAAATAAGTCTGGCGAATAATAAAATTGTGATTGGACAAGTGGGAATGTGGAATAACCACTTTTTAGACATTTTGTTTTATACTTTTATTTTTATTTCATTTAATTGTCTGTTTTTATTGCTTTTGAGCATCATTGATTTAGTTTATCATGCATTCTTAACATATTATCTAGTCTCCGACATAGTATACAACTTGTAACTTTTTCCTTTAAAATAAGGTTGCGATTCCAATGTTGAAGTCGTCCAAGACTATAAACAACACATAATGAAAAAGGTGCTTTAGGAAAATTATTCAATGATGGTCCTCCATAACACATATTAATTTTTTCAAATTTGTTTATATTAGTTAGAAAATCATCTATTGTTATAGCTAGAGTAATATTAAGTTTTTGTGGGTCAATCTTCTTTCCAAGAACTCCAAAAGTGACATCGCCGGTTTTTGCAACACTTATTGATTTTTCAATAATAGATAAGTGATCTACTATACAAAAAGATGAAAAATAGAAATTTGAAATCGTATTTCCAGTCTTTATAGCAGTATCATACCAGGAACAAAAAGTTTTCAATGTATTCTGTTGTTCAGTTGGAGATTTTCTTGTTATTTGCTTAGAGAGGTATGCAGGGTCAGGAAAAATTGAAGAAATAGCATTTTCTTGAAGCTTAGGTTTCTGATAAGGAATCAAAAAACAAATTATGTAACATACTTAACTAAATATTTATAATAGGTTATTAATAGGTATTTATTAGTACTTTGGCATCACAATAGGTAGTGGCAAATATTTTGTTCTATTTAAATCAACAAAAGATTCAATCTGAGTATGTATATATTTAAAGTACTATTACTTTAATATTAAATTGATCATTTTAAATTCAAATTTCTTACACCAATGTAGGTGTTCATTGTTAGTTGAAAATTACTTATCTTATCAAGTAATGTAGATTCACTACCAGATTGCCAGAATCGAATAATGTCATGTTCATTAAAATGTTTTTCACACACATATGTGTTGTCGTTGACAACATAATCCTGTCATGATATAGCCATTGCCCATTTTTTTCGTAAATCAATATTCTTTGGAGCAGAAAATTTAATATATTTTTCATTATTGCTCTTATAGCTCGAATTACAATTAACCATGCAGCACTTTCCCATTATAGTTATTAGGTAACATTAATATTTTATATGAAATAATTATACATACATATTTATAAGTAATATTTAATAAATAAAAAAAACTGTTACAATTACAAAAAAAACGTAATAATCATGATATAAACATGGTGATAAAATATAATAACTTAAATATGTTAAAATTTGATCATTTATTCACTTAACAATGGTGCTGTGACAAGCAGTGCTGTCAGTTCGCATCTCGGCTTTTTGACAATTTAGAGAGACCTCTTTATTTCTCTACCTACTTTTTAAAATATACAAGTAAACATTTAGTTATAAAATGCATTAAATTTTTAAATGTTAAATAAAACAATATGATTAACCTACTACAAGTAGATTTTATCCATCAAGGTGCTTATTTTGTGTCCCCAATAGATAATAGAAATAAATGGTTACGTGACGAGTGAAAAATATTTGATCGCGAAAGCACGGATTAAGGTATCTTAGTCTGTGCGAAAAGGTTCTTATCACAAAACTCATTAAAAATCTGCAGTGTGACCTGGTGTGTTGGTATTTAGTAATAATTGAAAAATTAGTATTTTATTATTTAATGGATATTTATATTTTTACATAATATATATAATTATAATAACATAATAATTGTATACAATTCAATTAGCCAACAAATCATATTTGAACTGATTTGGATAATTTTTTTTTTGTTTTACTTCTTTTTTTTGTATTTTGATTCACTAAGTAATAATACTGTCTCATTCTCATTGTTATGTAATATGACAAAATATGTGTTAATATATCTGTATGACATAACAAGGAAACTAGTTAAAAAATATTAAAAAATGCATTTTGTGTATTTTCAAACCCATCACAAGAAGTCACATGTTTTGAAAAACATGTGTCCATATGTTTTAGAATTGGGTACAAATTACAATCTGGGTGAATTGGGTATCCTCTAGTTTTATTATTAATCATATCAACTTCACTTCCTACAGCTGAAGTATTTAAATTTTTTATACTGACAATTCATAACTGGCACTTAATAGTACTTTTTATCAATCGTTTAATTAATATCAATGGAAAATATTGGAAATGTAGTTGTGCACACGAATTAAAATATATATTTATATAATTATTATAATATGTATTTATATTTATTTTTATCTACATAGAGTATATTTTAATTCATGTTTATGCAACTAATAATTATTTAAATCGTGGTAGGTATTTTCAAATTTGGCGGTAAATTATCTTGTAATAATTGTCACTAATATGATAACAAGCACTAGGTGTATTTTGCAACAGCTTTTTTCGTAAGTTTAAAAATGTATATTTATGCTAATGGATAAGATAAAAATGGTAAGCCCACACTGATGTGAGTGATGTGACGTCTATGAAATGTATAGGTTCCGTCATGGAAGTTCGAACCACTGTTGATGAAATTATACTTCTATATTGTCAACAATGACTATGAGACGTCTTGAACACCACCTTATTCGAACGTGTAGGCACTTCAAAGGGTATACTTCCTTAGCATTGTTTCTAATGGCAGTCAACCTCTTGAGGCCCGAAGTATCAGTATGATCACTGATTATATATGTTTAACGGGATCGCTGTACGGCTGGATTTGACGTCGCATAGGTCATGGTCGGAAATGCATTTCTAGCCAGAAAAAATTATTCTATTTAAAATATGGGTTTTTATTGTAACATTTCAAAACGTAGAGGTAAACAGTAATATTACAAACACTATTAGGAAAGTATTTAAATTTTTATTTTTGCATAATTATAGTATTATTATTATTCTGATTCGCTGTCATCGTGTCCACTATCATACTGTTATTGTCTACTAAAATTAAAAGTAGCTCTTTTATATCATCGTCAAGGGAATTTTACTTAATTGTCGACGTATTTCTTAGACTGGATAGACTGGAAATGTAGGGATCCGATAATACGTGCAGCATATGAACTAAATCTTCATTTTGTGAAACCCTATTTATTTTTCTTGTGCTGTTGTGAGTGAAGATGGTGATGGTGATACTCGAATAGCGAATGTATGGAAACATGTCTGGCATCGTGGCGACTATAACTCGTCAATTTGTAATCGCTTCTCTACAGTATACATATTATTTTTGTTTGTCTCGTAGCCGTTTTTTCCCCATCACGACGAGGTTTCAATTAGGTATGCGAAATTAATAATGTTAAAAATCGCTCGTCACCACTCGCCGGCGGTATATATTTTATGGTGGCGTCGCGTCGCATCGTAATGTTATGAATACAATATATAGTTATGATTGTGCCACAAATCGTTTTTCTATGTGAAAAACGGCGAACCCGCGATGACAAAAACAACGCCTACCTAATGTGTCGAGCCATTTAAACACGCGGACCTACGTAAAAAGCAGGCGGATCACTATGCGAAGGGAGAGGCGTTTTATTACGCAGCTACATCACGTGTTAAATTCAGGATCTCGTGGGTCCCATTATAATACACGAAACGGTTTTTTTAACGTTCGTTGGTAGATACCTGTTGTCCCTTGTGTATGTATACATATATATATATATATATATATATATGTATATATATTGAACGAAACAGATCGTTATTATCGATTTACCAATAAAATGCATTGCTACATATACTTGTTCGTCGCGGGAGTGTTTGCATCAGTAATATTATCTATTACATATTCCGAAACAAACGTCCTTCAATGG